TCATTGAACGTTTCGCTCAAATCACCAGCGTTCATGAAAATCCTGCATTGTGCTGTACGTATAATAAGATATTGATTTCATATCTGCCCTTTGACAGCAATGATCGAATCACGCGCATCGATGCATGACGTCATCCTTCCTGCCAAATAATAAAACACATCAAATAGGCGGATGTATAGTTGGATATGCCCGATTCCGAACGGCATTCACAATAACTACTCTGACTGGCCGCTGGTCATTTATCTTGATTTGTGTGATTCCATTGAGGTTATCTCTGATATAACAGGTGACCGCTTTGTTTTTGCCTCAGGTCTAGGGCTTTCTTCACTTCATTCAACCGACTCTTTTTATTGGAGGGGAACCTCTTTGGTTGAATTGAACGTTTCATTTATGAAGTACAACACCTAAATAAATTGATGCATATGAGCATGCATTCTAATACTTTGCTTTCTGTATTATGCGCAGCTCTTCTTCCTTCTTTCCTTTCTTTTTTTTATTGATATACAGTATATGGAATACAATGGTACAGTACAACATACAGTATACAATATAATTCTCATTTAATTCATGTAAGTGCCTTAGCCGTACACTAGACAAAGAATTAAAAAAAAAAGTGCGGTGACCTGATTTGCGCATTGGAAAAGATTCTGTGCGTTAATTGTTTTGTAAACAATCAAGGAGGTGAATCAAACTCGGAATAGAAAACTATTGTTAAGCCCCTATTAGTAAATGCCTAACCATATCACAAGGTTCAAAGTAACAGATCTGTGATGGTTTGTGATTGATGGTGATTGCAAGTATGCATTCATATTGCCGCACTCATCATATATTTGGGTGTTTTGGCTATTTCAAGGTTTCTTGGGGCCCCAAAGTGATAGCCCCGAAATATACATGCTACCTGCATATGTATTCCGTAAAAACACATAACAATGATTAACGTCGCGGTAATTATTTACGGATATACGTTTTTTAGAAGTAAAATTTCCAACAAAATTTTCCATCTCTACATTCCTATAGTTTCAAATCCCTTATTAAACCGTTAATAATATATACTGTACGTACGTATCGATGTATGTGTGTATGTATGTTTATGAAATCTTGCACGTGATCCGTAGTCAATCCCTGATATGACGATCGTCAGATCCCTGTCTACGGAAATTTTAAATCGATTTTTCAGAATGGTTTATTATCTTTTTTTTTCTTCGGTAATATATTCTCCGAATGATCTTCCCCGGCCTGTATTTGTGAATTGCTGTCAAAATAAAAATTCGTTATGCTTATTTATTTACGCTAAATACTTGATCCTCAGCAAGTAATATTTCGCATCTCTGTGTATTCGCACGTCTGTGATCCAAAAAGGTTATCACAACAATAACAAAGCATACATATCCCTGCATTTTATATAGTTCCCTATGTTATTTTTCCATTATGGTCATAAATAACCAAATAAATAAATAAATCATTGATCCAATTATATAGGTTGTAATTCAATAGAGAATAAACAAATGCGCCGGGTTTTCCGCGACTAGATCTAGAGCTGTAGCTTGTAAAACCTTACACGTAATCTCACCAATCAGAATTTTCTTTTCGAACTAAAAAATTTTGCATTTATATTATTAATACTTTTATTAATGCAACCACTTCAAGGCATGGAAAATTTGGTTTTGTTGATTTCTTTGCATGTCCAGAAGGAACGGAAAAGAAATGACGACCAACCAGAAAAGCCGTGTGTTTCATCTACATAAAGTAAAGTATAAACAAGGCGGACACCAGCTCAAAGCCTGCTAATTTCTCCCTTCATCATACCAATGGCATCTAGGCTAACACGCCAAAACTATTTGTATATAAACACGCACATCGAAATTTCCGCCGACGCTAATCAACACACGCACGTGCATTATAAACATCTACGTATTCTCAAAATACCACGAAGATCGTCTCGTATTCGCGACTTGCCGAACATTGTTTTACTCGATTTTTGGTTAAACATAAACACATGCATCACTGCACAAGATAATTTGTTCAAGCTTGGTCTGTAATAATATTGTTATTATCATCAACGTTCTAGATCTCTAAAATTGATGACCGTGAATACGTAAGTAAGTGTTTCTAGACCAGATTGAAACATGTTGAGGGCGGGTCGACCCTTGTACACGCTCGTCCGCATACATGAGTGCAATGTATCTCATTCGACGAAATCTAAAAAAAAAAAATTTTGGTCTGTGTGAATTCTGTGTACGTGTACATGCGTTCGCGCGCGTGCGATATGCGTATGTAAGCAAACGTCTATGAAAATCACACGTAGTTTATTCTTCCCTTCTTTCTCCCTTTCTTCATGCTGTGCGAGGCGTTTCCTTTTTCACCTGTTCTCTTGTTTTTCACCCTTATTTTTATATAAATATTCTGGTCAATAAAATGGTCAAGGCATTTCACTCGAACAGATTGACCGATTATTTTTTACCTTGATTTTTATGTACGATCGTGAAAGTTCGTTATATAGCCTTTTTTGGTGCCCCGCTACTTTTACAACACATATCATACATAAAAAAGTTAATAACTCGTTTTTTTGTTTTTTTTTTTTCATGTGCCAAGTTGTATGATAAATTCCAGCTTCTCACCTCTGTCAATATTAATTTCTTCCTTCGAGAAAATCACAAAAATTTATCATTGTCCAAAAAACAAATTTTGTAAATTCTAGATTCACTTGATTTAATTTCCGAATTATCCCGCGAGCTAATAATAATTTACTCTATCAAAAAAAAAATTATTTTTAAAAAAAAAGAGGACCATCATCAAGCGAGAAAAGTTCTAGGTGCGTATTTTATGCTAGCATGTGTATTTTTCGCAAAAAGACAAATATTTTAAAATAAACGGGATTATCTACTTGGCGGGGTTCATTCAAGAACCTTTTCCATGTTCATTGTCTCCGTTCGTTTTAAAATTTTTTTTTTTTTTTATTTAATGCTCCAAAGGTTATAAAAACTATCAAGAGATATCTCTTCATCCAAAATTCTTCACTTGAAGAATAATTGTCAACAAAAACCATTCCAAAACTCACAAGAGATTTTATTTTCTAAAAATAGCTCCTCTAACATATAACCTTCATTGCCGTCGAAGATGGATGTCCTAGAATTGGTTCACGTGGAAAACTCCAAGAGCGAGAGTCGTCCCTTCTGCTGTACACGG